AAAAAAAAAAAAAAAACCTCAGTGGTATCAAAGGACAATATTCCAGTGAAGTGGTGGAAGATCTAAATGTACAACCATCAATGTGGTGAAAATAATGTAAGATGCTAGACAACATGCTAAGCACTTTATATGCATTATTTTATTTAACCACCACCGCAACTTAAGAAGTCACGATGATGATCTGTACACAGGCTGTATAGCTACTGTGTAATGGGCTGGAATTCAGACCCACAAAGCATGGCTCTTGTGCTATCATCTTAACCAGTTTCTAATTGTGTATTATGTGGGGCTAAACTAGAGAGTGATGAATTACTTATATTTACAAAGGAAACGGGCACTGAAAGGACTATTCACATGACATCTCAATTGTAGTAACAATATGCTGGTTAGAATTTTATTTGAATGCCTTGTTCAAGTTTGGAGGATCTCTTCAATGAACATTTGGGTAAGTATAGTTATGTGCCCAGTCAAGAAATCAGCTTTTCTCTTACTCAGTTTTATAATTTGTGGCCCGAGGAATACATCAATAGAGACATTACAAGCAGTGCCCCAGTTACCAACATGTCTTAATGCCACAGATGTTACAAGTGTGGGGGCCAGGACTGGAAGGAGTAACACATCTCACAAGAGGCAAACATGCAGATTTGGCAGAGTGAATGTCTAGTGCACGTTAGGAGAACCCTCCATCTCAAGCACACTGCCCTGTGCCCCACTGCTAGTGTAGGTACCACTGATTGGTAATCACCCACTGTTGAAATTCCGTTTGTTTTATGCACTTAATAACATTCTGTAAAGGGAATCCATAAGCTTTAGCAGGATGCAAACTTTTTCCAAGGTACAGAAAAGCTTAAGTATGCCTCCAACAGCTAATGGAGCTAGCTTCGAACACCAAATTGGAACCATTGCCAATGACAACCTTTCCTCTTCAGAGAAGCTGTGCTCCCAGAGACAGACATCACAAATAGAATGAAAATACCATGTGTAGAGTTGGCATTGTTGGTGTTCAGAAGTCAGAGGATTCTGACTGACTGATGTTGTCCACGGTTAAAATCAAAATTTCCATCCAATCTACCAAATATGTCAGTTGACATGAGTATGTGTGTGAAACAAGTTAATTGTTCTAACTTGAGGCCCTCCTGATAATTTTTATCTTGTTTGAGGAGGTGTCCTGGATGTTTCAAAGTAATTATTGGATCCCTCAATCTAAGGAGATAAAAAAGCACAATGTGGACCAAATGGACTGCTGGGTCTGCTTCTTTCTAGGGAAATGAAACAGACTAACTCCAACATGTGAACAGAGGGAAGAAAACAGAGCTGATATTGTCCTCTTCCATATCCAAATGATACAATGTAGCAAAGCTTGGCTAAATCAAAGTGAAAGATAATCCAAAGGTAATGTACATTTATTTTGGGATACACTTTAGTACTGTAAATGTGTCTGACTCTCAGATTTAGCTTCATATTATATTCAAACACACACACACACACACACACACACAGAGGAACAAAGTCCTTTTTCTGAAAAACTCAAAAACCAAACTCACTGCCATTGAGTAGATTCCAACTCATTGCAACCACCATTGGGTTTCCAAGGCAGTAAATCTTTATGGAAGCAGATTGTTCTATCTTCCTTCTGCTGGTGGGTTTGAATCGCCAACCTTCTGGTTAACAGTCAAATGTCATAGGCACTATGCCACTTTATCAGAAGGAATCAGAGGAATAACCATTTCCCTCTGTCAAACTTTCTTCAGTAATTATTCCTAATTATATACTTTAAGATCAAAGTAACAAATTACACACAAAATCTGTGCTTCACAATAAATTTAGATTAAAAATGAAGTTATAAATACAAGCCAAAAAGACAAGCATAAATTGTTATAGTATTTAAACAATGACATTTTCTGATCTTGTCAATTTGAACTAAGTGCAAAATAAGAAAATGTGTTTCAAATCAAAACACAAGGTAGTTTTATAAATTGGAAATACTCAAGGTCATTCTGAACAGTGGAAAACGTAAGCATGTTTACCCTCTGCTGGTTCATTTAGAGGTTCTATGTGTTTTTCATGTTGTTTTGGTACTCAGTTGGACATTTTGTAACATCAGATTTATGCTCTAAGTCTGCGTGTTTTAGGAATTAGTTTTGTATTGGCTAAAACTAGATTGAATATTTTTAAAAATTCAACCACTACTTCTTTTCCAGTGGTAGTTAATTTTGTAAGCAAATCATGAATGGGAGCTCTGGTGGCATAGTGCCTAAGGCATTTAACTGCTAAACAGAGGGCTGACTGTTGAAACCCACCAACCACTCCTCGGAAGGAAGGTTGGGCAATCTACTTCCGTAGTGATACTGCCATGGAAATACCCAAGGAGGGGTCACTATGAGTTGGATCTGACTCGATGGCAGTGAGCTGAGTATTTCATGAATGTTTTCAGATGCTTTGGTACCAAAAGTATAGCTTTTACTTAAAACTAAAGTATGCAGTTGAAAATATTACTTAAAATACCTCTTTAAGTTTCCCATAATATTGTTACAAGGGCCAATTAGAGGAGATGGGCAACATCTTGTATGATTTTAATGCTTCCTGGAGTTATTGTTTCTCTTTTTTTTAAAAAAAAAAAAAGTGGGTATCTTTCCTAGGAAAAATAGAGTCATAGAATTCCATCTAAAACTTCTTAGATGGTCTCAGAGGAAAACAGGAGTTTAGTATCTCAAGTTTCAAAAATCATTGGCTTCCATATTGATGCTGCCATGGTAAGAAACTGAAAAGGGGTAAACAAAGAGAAGAGCAAGGATTTACCTATTAGGATCTGTGTAGATTTTAAATCTTTAATTTCATCCATTTTGATCAGGTTAATGATCTAGTAGTGAAACCTTTAACGAGTCTTATAAAAGTTAGAGCATGGGGGAAATATGAAATATTAAGGTGACAATGTCACATTGTCATGGATTATATGTCACAAGATGTGTGAAAACTATATAAGTTCACTCCATATTTTGGGCATTTTCTTAAAAACAGTTCCAGTCATTCATTAAATGAATGGAAAAAAAATGCAGTGAACAGTGAACATACAAGCAATGTGTCACTATAATACCAGTACAAACTTTACAGCATAATTAATAATTCAATAAAATAATAAAAGTCATCCAGAAAAAAATTAATACATTTCAAAATAATTTTGAGCTGCTTCTTCAAAAAATATTATTTAATTTTGAAGTTTTGATAAACCCATAATTCAAAATAGATTTTAGTGCCATTAATAAGTTACAGTTTCTCTTAATTGATAACTCAATTATTATTACACTTCTCACGGTACAAAAAAAGTAATGTTACTGAACCCAGAAACATTTTCATTTTTGGGGGGTGAGACTTTTAATGCTTCTATAGTAAGTAAGGATCAATATAAAGCTTAAATTATGTATTTTTGAAGAACATGTTATACTAATATAAAAATCACACAAGAACACACCAAATCATTTTTTCTGAGGTTTAATTTTAACTAATGAATTTTAAATGATGTATATAATGGCAATCCAAGTCTTCGCTTATTTGCAACGCACAAACTTGTTTTTGTAACTTGCAGGTAAAATACATTCTTTTTTTCACCATGGCAAGATTTTCATCCTTATTCGTGAGTTTTCTTTCCTTTTTTTTCCCCCCCCTAGAGTTCTTTTTCTTCAGTAGGTTAACCAGTCACTTCTGGTTTGGCTAAAGAGCAATCCTAGCACAATAATGTTTCAACTTGCAAGGAAGTACACCCTTATTAAGTTGATAAAACTCCACTAGCTGGATCAGATCTGTAAATCTCGTGTGGCCGTCATCCAGGGTGTGAAACATTTCACCTTCATCTTCCACCTGCAAGAAAAATAGCAACAAACTGGTAAAGAGAGGAAATTATCCAGAAGGACAAGCATACTCCACTATTTACTATGGCTTTATATGTTAAAATGGGCAAATGTATAAAACCAAATTTATCATTCTGCAAATAATGATATGGCAGTTCTACTTCCTTTTTGTAATTCCACTTGCATTTAAAAGAAATATCACCTGATGCTAGGATAAACAGTGTTATTTTACTTTGTCTCCTTTTAATTCTCCCAACGTTAGTAAGGATGGGATGACTATTGTGCATCAATCAACAGTGAGAAATCTGAAATCTGTATAAAAGTAAACAGGAGATTTTAATGCTCCCATTTATAGCAATTAATTTCCATTTCTAAATATTGTCCACTTAACAGCCACCACCTAGCACATTAAAAATGAATATTCACATTATTTGTATCACTAAATTGATTCTGAAGCAATCAAATATTATGCTAATGGAATGTCAGTCAAGCTTCATCTTTTTTTTTTTTTTTTGGCAGTGTAGTCTTCTGGCATTAAACAATCCATGCTTGCCAGGAACACTGATTACATAATCAAAGAAGGGAGGACACGTTATATGATCTTTGGATAACTTAATAAAGAGGCAATTCAAAATGAAAAAGTAGTAATTTAGCCATCTTTAGCAATACATTCCCAAAAATAGAGTGAATCTGTACTCCACACGACCTGGTTTGAATATATAGACTGACGCATACACATATAATAGTAGCAACAAAAAGCCAAAGCAAGTTGTGCTACTCAGAAGTAAAATCACAAAGATTTTTTAAATGTGCTCAGAATAGTTTAAAGGTTGACCAATACATGAGCCCTTATATTTCAATCCCTAACTATTAAAAACAAAAAACAAAATGAAACAGTAACATTTTTGAGAGGAGAAGGGGCTTTAACACAATGGTTTTTTTTTAAAAAAAAAACATTAGAATTCAGGAGAAAGAATCTTTAGTGGCCTTTTAACAACAGGTGGCATGGGGTCTATACAATATTGCTAAATCATATTTTGTGGAAAAGGGAAATTTAATTTTTACAATTCCTGTATTTCTTGTATTAATTCAGGCTCATAAAACGATTTCTGCCAAACTTAACTCCAGTCAAAGCAGAAGCTTCCAAATGATATTTAATAAAAGACCAAAAGAAAATCAAAGTTTCCAAAAGCATATACATTAACATCATTTCTAATATAGGAATGTGAAATCACAAATTACTTACCGGTATAATTTGAAAGTGCTTTATTTTTTGTCCATGACTCATTGACAGTACAAAAGTTTTGGGATTACTCTGACTATCCCGTACCAAGAAAACTCTAAAAGGAGAGAAGGAATTTCAATGTTTCTACATTTACTCATGGGTCTCACAGAATTATAGCATGTAATAAATATGAGTATATTCAGAAATGTTGTAAGTGGGGGTCTTCCTTGTGTATTCAATGGCTGGGATTATTATCCAACCTAGTAAATGATACAGTATACCATAATCTTATACCATAAAACTGTCATTGGTGCTAGTTTCATTTCAATAGGCAAAATATATAGCTCATTTGTCAGACTGCTTGCTCACAATAACCAATATAATGTTATGTTGGCATCAATAATTAGTGTTATGTCCTGTTCCACTGGGAAAGTGGGTATTCCCAGGTAACTGTATCTCCCTTTCACACAGACAATGAGGCATCAGCATGTGATTATTTTAACTTCTGGATCATATAATAAATATTAAATTTTACTTATTTAGAAGCAGATCATTTTTATACCCCCTCTCCTCCTCTCAGCCCCCTTTCTTCTTTTGATTCTAGTTCCTACCACTAGATATACAAAAGAAAGTAGGAATAGTGAGAAAAGAATATATTCTTAAAAAAAAAAAGAAGAAATTAATCATTTAATAAGTACTTTAAGCAAAATGTTTTAAGTAAAAACCAAACAAAAACAAAAAAATCCAAACAACAAGTACTTTAACCCTAAAGAATGAAGCAGAAAAGCCTTTATAATGTCAGGCTAGCAAAACAAGACATGGCCTAATGGCCTAAGAGAAAAATGCTGCCAGGCGTGGATTCCGATTTACTGGCAATATAGTGCAAAACCAGTTTTGTATTAATTGTTGGCAAACAGACTGTGCAAACAGTCCTAACTGGTGACTCTAATACTAATCTCACTGTGCCTGGCCACAGAGGCAGCCAAATTTGAGCCATCACAGATGTCTGATGTGATTATCCATTTCAATTGTGTTGTGTGAGATTCCAACATTACATCACTAGGAGATGGGACAAAAGGGAGTTTGACTGATAAATCAAGTTGCAATTCTCCCTCTTCCCAGTGGATCACCACTACCACCTAGTGGACCACCTGACACCATCATGTCTTTCCAAAGGAATACCAAATAAACAAACAAATAAATAAAAGGGATATTGTTGTTCTTTATGCAATTATTTCATTTGATTTACAAACCTAGGCTCAGAAATAAAGGGAATTATAATTCTCCAAAACATTTTAACAGTCCTTTGTCATTTATTTCTTTTCTTAGGCACAACAGATTGTAATTCTGCATATTTTTCAAATTTATATCCAAAAATCACTGCACGCCACACAGAGAAGCATACTAAAATTTTCTCTTATTTAGAGTCTGGTACAAGGCTGACTTTCTATTAGTAATTTTCCATGATAAGATGTGTTTTCATCCAAATGTCAGAATTAAATCACCTTGAAACCTTGTCATTCTCTCAAGCCAGCCCTTGAAGATAAAAGATTCCATCACTTTGTTTAAACAAGTGCTGGCTTCATTTTTCTTCCAAACTTCAATACAACCTCTGTAATTTGTATTAAATTTGAAGAGAAAATTCAGCCAGTTTAATGGAAAATATCTTAAATTCTGAGTAATTTGAGAAAAAAAAAATCTTTGGATCATAAATGTTTCATACTATATTTTATTTTCCTCCATCCTCCGTAATTTCCAGTAAAAATATGAGAAATACTCAAGAGGTACTCTTCTCATAGGTTTATGTTACTTTAAGCTGCTAAAAGTTAGAGGAAAGAAAACAGGGATGCAAACAGTCAGAAAAAGTTTTAAAAGCAGTGACAATTAGAAATAACCTGCATTATATTTAGTAATGTGTTACTAATGTCAAGAAAACAAATGAAACTTTAAAAGTATATTAATTATTTAAGTTCAAATAAAAATCTTTTCTCTAATATCTACTACCACCAATTTAACTGATACTCAAAAACAAATACTTCTTTTTCCTATAAATTAATATCTGAGATGCTGGAATTAGCACAAAATGGGTACTATTAGTGATCATTGGTTAAAAGTATTTAGTTATGTGTTCATTTATGTAACATATACTAACTAAGCACAAACTATGTACCAGTTATTGTTTAGCTGTTACTAGGATACAATGATAACCATCCTTAAAGAACAACACCACTTTTGTTTTATGATAAGCCTGTGTTGAAACTCTTGGCATCATAAAACTGCTTACAGGAGAAATGTAATCATTACTACTCAAAACTAAACTTATCAAACTTACCCATCTACAAGTCCTTGCTGAATAATTAGTCTCTGAGCTTCGTCTCTAGAAATTTTATGGTGAAACCATGGCTGGGATCGGTGGATAGCTGAAAAAATAAAATGGATGAATACAAAGTTTGTGTGAAATGATCACAACTGATTTGGCACATTCACTTAGTGACTATATCGAAATACACTTATGCCCATCCACTGATTACAATGAACACCAACAGACGTACCCATATTTGTGGCAGAGCTCTGTGAAGAAGCAGTGGGGCTACCATGAATGCCTAGTCGTAAACATCCTTTTTTCTGAGCAAATAAGGGAAAATGTTATTCAAACTTGGGGTGCAGTAAATTGAAATCATATATATATTTCAAAGAAAGTGAAGTTATTTGTACCCTCCAAGCAAGTCCTTCTTCAACTGCAACTGAAAGGGCTTCAGTGGGATTTTCTATAACTCTGCTTTTCTGGCCTGAGAAGTCCATTGCTACCAGGGAATTCTCTGATATACTTCTCTGAAAAAGAACACACTGTTAACCATGAAAACACCTTTGAAAGTTATCTTCCGGGGCTTTGTTGGCAGTAGCTTTCCATTCTAGAATGTGGTACCAAAGGTGGCTAGCAACAAAATATATTTAGGAAATTAAAAGGTTAAAACACATAAGAGTGATAAAGCAGGGCCATAAAATATTTTGACTAAATAAGTTATACAGTTATTTGCTAAAGTAATTAATTGCCCACAGCCATCGAGTCGATTCTACTCATACCGACCCTACGGGGACAGAGCACAACTGTCTCATAGGGCTTCCAAGGCCGTAAATCTTTACTAACGCAGACTGCCTCATCTTTCTCCTGTGAAGCGGCTGGTAGGTTCACACTGCCAACATTCTGGCTAGCAGCTGAGTGCTTTAATCACTGTGCCACCAGAATTAACTACTGCTGAATAAAGACATTAAAAGCTTTCAAGGTAACATCTTGACTGTAAAAACATCTTGACTTTTACATCTTTTACTGTAAAAACAACCCCATCTCTTCATATACTCCAGTAAAATGGAAAACCTCAATTTAGAAAGGAATTCTAATGATTAAGATCCATTGTGAACTCATCTCTCCACTATGTTCTCAGACTCATCAATTGTTACTTAAATGTCAAATCTATCTACTTTTGAAGTACCTATTTTATAAGATGTAAAATTGCACAAAGGCTCCAATTTAGATCAGCTTACATTATTTTTTTAGAAAGAAATAGTATTCATACTTATAATGGAGAAAATGGAATATATATTTTGAAACTTTATCACATTAGTTAACTTAATTAGAAAATAAAATTTAGTAAAATTCAGATAATTCCATAATATTAAAATTTTGATTTAACATATGAACATTTTTCTTCACCTTGAGAGAATACAGCAAAATTAGAGCTACCAAAATAAGTGCTAATGATGAAAGAGGAACTAATATAAAAAGAAGATATCTTGAAACAAATAGAAATTAAGCAAGTAATAAAGTTATCATTTTTCCAATGACTTCATGTATTCAGATTCTTCAATGGTGAAAGTAAATACCTAAAATCTTGTTTTATATTTTTATTATTTTTTGCTTTTATGTTTGAAACTGCACTTCTCAATCATTTTTTTTTAAAAAAGTAGGTAATCCAGACAACTGTCAAAAACTCCAGTCATGAGTTTCACTCACTGTATATAATTTGAAGAAGAATTAAAATTCTTTCCAAGGAAAACAAGATCCAAAGCAGCATGGAAAACAATGAACAGTTATCCATCCCACCATACTTACAATGTTTCAATAACAGAGGAGTAAAACCAAGGACAGAGTTCTAATGGTAAAATATGAGCCAAAATATACCTGGGGGCTCATGGCTTGTAAAGACATGTTATGTTCTATGTGGATTCAGCTATTCCTAGCTTGGTCTAACAGTCTATAGTCAAATGTTTGTTACAGTTGTTTGCTTGCAACAAAATGTCGTCCACAAAAAAAATTTAGGGTTCATTTATCACTGCATTGCACATTCTTCTTTATTACCATTCGTTATTTTCTCTTCAAGCCATGATGGAGTGGTTCACAATATTTTTATGGTTCATCTATATATTTCTAGAGATCCGGCATGCAATCTTTCATTTGTTACAGGAGCTTTTATAACTGACAGCTGCTCTTTCCAGACAGATGCTGTCTCTGTAATCTCTATTTGCTGTCACACCTTAGTTTGCCCTTCTCACCCCGTGATCTTCTGTGCAGGGCTGTGGACCAGTTGGATATACTTTTGCTTTGCCGACATTAATGAAAAGCCTCCACCTGCCTAAACCACAGAGTAACTAGCCTCAATCATAATGATAGCTTTATCCTTATAATATCTCCACCTTCAATGCCAAGACAGGCTCTGTAATCTCAAGATCCTGATAATATAAAAATACTGTTAGGAAAGAAAAATAAACACCACCAGCCATTCTTTTTTTGGCCCTCTATATGACAGGAAGGAATACAAAATGAGATCCCATGTTCTACAATTACTTAAGTGGGGAGACTACAATATAAATAAGGAACTTTTTTTATTTGCTACATAAACTACACTAGAGGAAAGCAGAAATATAGCAAAGGTTCCTGTTTGTTTGTTTGTTTTTTACTGAATGGCAGGTGAGGGATAAAAAATTAATAGTTTACCTTTAGTGGACAAAGAAATGGAAGTGAGGCAGAGTCTGACTTGAACTCAAAAGGTCACTTTCAGCTCAACCTCTTTCACACAGGAAAGCAATGTTGAAAACATTCAGAATTGGTGTATTTCTCAAATATCTGCCCCTCTTTCTAGCTCTTTCTTCTCATGGGACGCAGGGCAGGCCCTGAGAAAAGGGCCCATGATTTTGATGGCACTTTTTAAGAAAGAAAAGGCATGGGCATACACTGTGGATGCCTGAGGCCACATTCTGCGATCAGATCCAGTCCCGTTTAGTGAGATTTGCACCTAAATGTGTTTCAGGCAGTTTAGCTATAACCAGAAACTCTCCACCATCCCATGGGAAGGTTCTAGATAAAATTATCAGTACCATCCTTAGTAACCAAACCAAAGAACCAAACCCACTGCCATTGAGTCAATTCCAATTCATAGTGACCCCCACTGGGTTTCCAAAGGAGCGTGGTGGGTTTGAACCACCAACCTTCTGGTTAGTAGTCAGATGCCTTAGGCACTGTGCTACCAGAGCTCCTTGTCCTTAGTAAAGGAATACAGAATTTACTAGATTTTGTTCCCACATCTCCTTCATACAGAGTCACAGGACATATAATAGATTCTAGAGATCATGACAAGCATCCTTATTTTATACTGCAGGACACCTGTGACTCAACCAAGGTCATACAGATAGTTTACTGTAGAATCAGTAAAAGGTATGCCCTTTCCATGGTCCTTTATGTACCACAGAATGAAAACGCAGTATGAAATGTCTAGTCCAGGGTCAAAAGTAAATAATAACAAGAATTTAAGTAGACTTATTTTCCCATCCCCTCACTCTAGCCAGGGTGTTTTAAATAAGTGCCTCTTTAAATAAATCTTTGTTTGTCTTAAGAAGGAATAAATACATTTGAGTTCCAGAAATGTCTGCTGATAGGCTGATGGGGATGGCTAGTATATGCTATATATACTATATAGAGCTACAATGTTCATTATGGTATGAGAAAAAACTTTTTTTTCTCAAAATGTATCCTGGGAAACTTAAATATAGAACATTATTCTTTTAAAAATATAACTGAAATATTCTTAGTTTTCTGTCACTGAAAATAGTTCATGGCATGAAAGCTAATACTGGTGAGTGGCACTGGCATATATTATACAGGTCACCGATTCTTCAGGAATACTTTAGAAATATGGGATTCTGCATGGACATTGAGAGAAATACAAATACCGCCTCCCTCAATGAAAAGAAAAAAAAAAAAAACTCTTCATTTCCATGCATTACTCTTCTCACTCCAGTTCTACTTTGAGACAAGACTCTGATCATGACAACTGCTACAAAGTACAGGACCAAAACACACAGGCCACTTAGCTCCCTGCCCCACCCCTTAAACCCAGTTGCTACTGAGTCAGCTCTGACTTATGGCGACCCCACGCCTGACAGGACAGAACTGTGCTCCATGGAGTTTACAATGATAATTTTCAGAAGTAAATTGCCAGGCCTTTCTTCCAAGATACCTCTGGGTAGATTCAACCTTCCAACCTTTACAAGCCCTAAGTCCTCCTACTAGATTCACCCAAATGTCTCTTCATTTACACTGGGGCCTAACAAGTAAACCTAGAACAACCAAACTGTCATACGTTTAGGGTCACTTTCAATGAGAAAAGTCAAGAATATACCATACTTGTTTGCTAACAACTGTAGTGAGAACAGAAAGTACTTTGTTTTTCGAATGACTAAGAGGAGCTCTGGTAGCATAGTGCCTAAGCACTTGACTGCTAACCAGAAGGCTGGCAGTTCAAACCCACCAGCTACTCCTTGGAAGGAAGACTGGGCAATCTACTTTCATAGTGATACTGCCTTGGAAACCCAAGGAGGGGTCACTATGAGTTGGGGCCGACTTGACCGGCACATAACAACAACAAGAGGAAATTAAATAATAATTGCCTCCAAACTCTTGGCTGCTATTAACATATTCATTCTAAGAAATTTAGACTCTAAAAGAAATTTGGAGGGATTTAGGATAGGATTAAGATAATGACATTCATTATTCTTATTATGTATTTGGCAGTGAGTTGAGTTTTATTCCCATACAGGAAAATACCTGTATTTTATATATATATATGTGCATATGTGCACGCTGGGAGCTCTGGTAGTGTAGTGCCTAAGGCACTTGACTGCTAACCAGAAGGCTGGCAGTTCAAACCCACCAGCCACTCCTTGGAAGGAAGATGGGCAATCTACTTCCGTAGTGATACTGCCTTGCAAACCCCAGGAGGGGTCGCTATGAGTCGGGTCCAACTTGATGGCAAATAACAACAATGACATTATATACACATGGATTCAAAGATCAGGGTAAGATGACAAATTGTCAAAATACTCACCTTAAAGTGATGGCTTTTATAAAAATTCACTACATTCGTTATTTTCTTATTTTAGGGCTTAAAAATAACACAATCCAAAGATGAAAAGTTACTCTTCCAAAACTTAAAGCAATGTAACTTCAGAATCGGAGTGCTTTTTTCTATATCGTCTATCAAGTTTAGTAATCAACATTATTTCATGCCTCATTCCTAGAAGTGAGTATTTCATCTGCTACATTACATGTGGGGTAAGTGCTCCTTCCTTGGTCATAGCCATGAAGAATGTACTTTTAACCTAAGTGGAAATGCAGGATTTGAAAAATGCATGATAACTAATTTGTAACCCAGGCACCTAAATCTGAATCCTAATATACTTGATATTAAGGAGCACAGCAAAAATAGCAGAGCATCAGCTTTAAGTTCAGAAATAAATTTCCTGTGTCAACGCATAGGAAATTAAAATTGGGTAGTAATTAAGGAAAGAGGTGCTAATGCCTTTGACTACTAACCAGAAGGTTGGTGGTTCAAACTTACCAGCTGCTCCCTGGAAGGGCGATGGGGCAATCTATTTCTGAAAAGATTTACCACCTCGGAAACCCAATGGGGGTCATCATGAGTTGGAATAGACTTGATAGCAGTGAGGTTTTTTTTTTTTTTTTTTAGTGAAAGAAAAAGAGGTGTTTGCATCTGCAAGTAAACATCTAAGTTACGTTTATTATCATTCTGAGAAACGGTGTCAGAGTTAATGCAGTGCATGACCTATGTTTTGGCTCACAGTATGGGGGTTTCCTGGAAAGGAGTCTGCTTTTTAAGGAACTTAAGCTTTTAAAAGCTTTATTGTTAGAAAGCCGGAGTACGAAAGAGCTCACAAGTATATAGTACATCATTCAAAATGCCAAACTACGGGCATATTTATAGTACACAATGAAAATCCCAGAAATAAACAGAAAGCAAATAAATAAATTCAGAGTCAAGATCAGTAATTAAGGAAACATAATTGAGAGTCTTAAGGAAAGATGTACTGTAAAGTAACTTATTAAGAGCTAATCCTCAAAGGTAGTAATGAGACAGAACTGCTCACATAATACTTTCTTTTAAATATGTTCCAATTTTCTTAAACCTATATTGTTACCTATTTTAACTGACTACTTCACATATACTGTCTGCTATGATTTTATTAGATAGGCTAAAAACGTACAGATCCAAGAACACAAAATTAAATATAAATGTCTGGCAACAGAGTGCCAAAAAGTTACTTTCCTTGACCAAAAGGAAATAATGTAAATAAAAGGAAAATAAAATACAGGTTTAAACACCTGGCACTTACCATGGGTGACAGACTCTGAGAACTGCAGCCACTTCGACCTTGATATGGATGCATGTAATTCTGGTACAGCTGCATGCCATACTGCAGGGTAAACAGATCAACATACATTTCCACCATTTCACTAAGCTGATTATTTATGAAAATCAACATTTTCATTAGCTATACAGCATCAATTAAAAAATATAAATGTATGTGTATATAACTATAAATATATATACTTCTCTTACAATTAATAAAACAACTAAAATTTTGAAATTTTGAATTTTGAATTTCTACTATCCAGCAATGATACATTTAAAATGACAGTGTATTTACTTAGGCCCACAAAGATCTACCTTAGCAGTATAAAGTCCTTTAACAGATATTCTTACTTATTATTCTTAGCATCAAGTAATACTACAAGTGTATGGAGTAGTGCATTGCCTAGTGATTAAAAAAAAAAAGCTCATTTGAAAAGGGTGCCATGCTCAGTGGTACAAAGACTCAAAAAGTCCGCATCCGTCTAAGCACAAAAACCAAACCCAACCCACTGCTACTGAGTCAATTCTGACCCACAGCAAGCCCACTGGACAGGGTAGAACTGCCCCATAGGGTTTTTAAGCCTGTAAATCTTTACAGAAGCATATTGCCCCATCTTTCTCCTGCAGCGTGGCTGGTGGGTTTGAACTGCCGGCCTTTTGGTTAGCAGCCTTAACTACTACACCACCAGAGCTCCTTCATCTCAAGCAATACTGGGTAAATTTACCATGATTCTCTGATAATCAATCAATAAATTCCACTGTCTCTTTGGCAAATCCAAATTTGGTACTTATGTTGAGGATTCTTGGCAATATATAAACCCCTGGGATTAATACTCTTATGACATTATTTAATTTTTGGTTTCAAATTCAGGGATGTCCAAATGGTAGGAGAGCCAAATCAGGCTGATGTCAGGCAAAGGAAGACGAAAGACAATGCTATTTGAAATTGGTAAGAACTGAAACCTGTTTGCTTTCAAAAGGCAACATCACATGGACTGGGCTATAGGCAACAACTAGAACGTGTGTCTGGATTACAAAGATTATTAGTTTTCAGAAATGTTAGAAATGCCAACTGCCACTGACCAAACCCGTCCTGGAGGGGTTTCTGCCTAAAACTGGATGACACCTCACTGAGGCTTAAGCTATTTTTCTAAACCACACAAACACACATACACAATAGGACACACAAGCTTTCCTTTTGCTAAACTTCATAATTCTTTTTCATGAAGCCATAATGAACTTAAAATTAAAAGTAGGTTCTAAAGAAAGGAGATTGAAAAGGCAACATGATTTTACCTTTAGGATGAATTCAACTTAAATGTTCCAACAGAGCTTTTTCTTCACGAAAAATTATTTCATTAACAGCAGTTTCAGGAAAGGGGATACATTTGATAATTAGGCAATAGTGGGGAGCGGTTATTGAATTCAAGATTTTGCTTTTAACAAGAATCCGACCTCATGCTCATTTATGTTACTTTCATTTCAATTATTTCCCATTTTCAAAAAATTACTTTTTAACTTAATGTTTAATTGATGTTACTGGGACTTAATGAAATTGACTTAAATTAACTCTAAGCATATTGTAGCTTAAAAAGGAAGACAGAAGAGCTTAACTTCTGGTGAAATTCATTTTGGGAACTATGTAATAACCTAAAACCAACATGTTTGCAGGTACACCCGGCTTGGTTGTCTTTTATTTATCTGCAGTAAAAAGCCTTCTACCTGCTAATAAGGATGTTTCTTCAAAGATACATTGTCCCTAGTAACTGCAGTGCTTGGTAGTTGCTTCTGTGCTCCAGGAAGTCTTTAGTAGGTATTTAACTTTGGCACAAGATCACCTAAAAAATTCCCTGCCTCTTGAGGGGAAGATAAAGAACTAAAATATATAGAGAGAAGCTAAAATAGGTCTTAATTGAAAGGAAGGGAACATTATGTAATTAGGACATTTTACAGCATACAAACCTCCCCTTTTCTAAGCCTCAAATATTCTATGATTCTGTATTTCATCTTGCTTACTTTGGACTTGTTATCGGGAGTGATCAATTGCTGAAGAAAGACATCATGCTTGGTAGAGTAGAGGGTCAGTGAAAAAAAGAGAAACCCTTGAGATAAACTGACACAGTGACTGCAACAATAGGCTCAAACATGGCGATGATTGTAAAGGATAGTACTGGACTGGGTAACATGTCATTGTTATATATGAGGTTGCTACGAGTTGGAGCTGTATGATAGTTGAAGCTGTGTGTCAACTTGGCTGGACCACAATTCTGTGTGGTTTAAGTAGTTGTGATGTGGTTATTCCCATGATGGATCAGATGTATGTGTTTTGAGCAGCCAATCCATTGAAAGGGAGTTTCCCTAAGGGTGTGGCCTGCTTCCAGTATATTTATGGACATCCTGGGAAAAGAGGCTCTCTTCTGCGGATCAGGATTTTGTTGTGCTGCTGACAACTGTCCGTGGACAAACGATCCACCATTCGGCCTGGAGATCTTGAATTCGTCATTGGCTGGAGTCAACAACAGCCAGTGTATTGCCTGCCAACCTTGAGCTCCTCAGCCCTTGCAGCTGTGTGAGTCAGGAAAAGCCTCCAGCTTGATGTTTGATCCAAGAACTTTGGACTTGCTAGCTTCTATAAGTGTGTGAGTCATTTTCCTAAGATAAATTTCTCTTTCTCTATATATATAATCTTAACTGGTTTTGTTTCTCTAGAGAACCCAGTCTAACACAAGCTGACATGAAGGCACCTAATAACAACATAGGTAACTGGCATTTCTCCAAAGAGAACAGCAATGTCTCCATCTGATGCTACATTTAGAGATTACTGACTTAATGCATGAAGATTCCAAAGTGGGTTAGGGCACATATGACTTCAGAAAGTTTCTCAGGTGATTCCAATGTATATTCTTAGTTGCCTAGTTACTACTCCCACCACTCATCAGTTTCTTGTACTGTGGTGGCTTGCCTGTTGCTGTGAGGGTGGAGGCTATGCCACCAGTATTTCAAGTACCAGCAGGGCCACCCATGGTGGATAGGTTTTAGTGGAGCTTCGAGACTAAGACAGACTTGGAAGAAGGAAGAGACCATTAACTTCTTAAAGAATTGGCCAGTGAAAATGATATGTACAGCATTGAAATACTGTCTGATACATTACTAAAAAACTTTACGAATAGCCCTGAAACACTGTCCAATATAGTGCTGGAAGATGACCCCTCAGGTCAGAAGGCACTCAAAATACAACTGAGGAAGAGCTTCCTCCTCAAAGCGGAGTTGACCTTGATGATGTTAATGGTGTAAACCTTTTGGGACCTCCATTTGCTGATGTGGCCCAACTCAAAATGGGAAGAAACAGCTGCAAACATCCATTAATAATCAGAACATGAAATGTATGAAGTATAAGTCTACTAAAATTGCAAGTTGTCAAAAGTGAAATGGAACATATGAAGATCAATATCCTAGGCATTAGTGAGCTGAAACAGACTGGTTTTGGCCAGACAAACATATGATCTACTATGCTAAGAATGACAAATTGAGGAAGAATGTTATGGCATTCATGGTCACAAAGAATGTTTCAACATCTATCTTGAAGTACAATGCTATCAGTGATAGGATAATATCCATACACCTACAAGAAGACCAGTTAATACTACTATTATTCAAATTTATGCACCAACCACCAAAGCCAAAGATGAGGAAACTGAAGATTTTTACCTATTTCTGCAGTCTGAAATTGACCAAACATGCACTCAAGATGTGTTGTGGTGATTGGAATGCAAAAGTTGGAAACAAAGAAGGATCATCTGTAATTGGAAAATATGGCCTTGATGACAGAAACGATGTCAGACGTTTCCTGATAGAATTTCAAAGACCAATGACTTACTCATTGCAAATACCTTTTTTCCACAACATAAAAGGCTATACTTGTGGACTTTGCTAGATGGAATACACAGGAATCAGGTCAACTAAATCTGCAGGAAGAGGTGATGGAGAAGCACAGTATATCTTTAGCCAAAATGAAGGTAGGAGCTGCCCATGGAACAGACCATCACCTGTTCATATGCAAGTTCAAGGTAAAGCTGAAGACAATTAAAACAAGTTCATGAGAGCCAAAATATGACCATGATTATCTCCCACCTGAATTTAGGGACCATCTAAAGAATAGATTTGATGCATTTAACACCAACGATCTAAAACCAGACGAATTGAAGGATGAAATCAAGAACAGCATACATGAAGAAAGCAAAAGGTCATTAAAAAGATAGGAAAGGAAGAAAAGACCAAAATGGATGTCAAAAAGACTCTGAAATTTGCTCTTGAGCTGAGAGCAGCTAAAGCAAATGGAAGAAATGACAAGATAAAAGAACTGAACAGAAAATTTCAAAGAGCAGTTCTAGAAGACCAAGTCAATTATTACAATGAAATGTGCAAAGACCTGGAGCTAGAAAATCAAAAGGGAAGAACATTTCTGAAGCTGAAAGAACTGAAGAAAAAATTCAAGACTCGAATTGCACAACTGAAAGATTCTATAGGCAAAATACACAGGAAACATCAAAAGAAGATGGGAGGATACACAGAGTCCCTGTACCAAAAAGAATTGATCTGCATTCATTCACTTCAGGAAATGGCATATGATCAAGAATCAGTGGTATTGGAAGAAGTAGTCAAAGCTGCACTGAAGGAATTGGTGAGAAATAAGGCTCCTGGAATTGACGGAATACTCATTGAGACATTTCAACAAATGGATGCCATGCTGGAGGCACTTACTCACCTATGTCAAGAAATCTGGAAGATGGCTACCTGGCTAAATGACTGGAAGAGAGCCACATTGGTACCCATTCCAAAAAAATGTGATCCCACAGAATGTGGATATTATTATCAACAATATCACTAATGTCTCACACAGGTAAAAACTTGCTGAAGATAATTAAAAAACTAATGCAGCCCTACATTGACCAAGAACTTCCAGAAGTGCAAGCTGGATTCAGAAGAGGACCTGGAATGAGGGATATCATTGCTGATGTCAGATAAATCTTGATTGAATGCAAAAAATATCAGAAACATGTTTACTTGTGTCATTATTGACTATGCAAAAGTATTTGATTGTATGCATCATAATAAATTATGGATAACTTTGAAATGAATGGGAATTACAGAACACTTAACTGTGCTCATGAGGAAGCTGTACATAGACCAGGAGGCTGTCATTTGAACAGGACAAGGGGATATTGCATGGCTTAAAATTGAGAAGGGAGTGCATCAGCATTGTATCCTTTCACTGTCCTTATTCAATGTGGATGCTGAGCAAATAATCCAAGAAGCTGGACTATATGAAGAAGAACATGGTATCAGGATTGGAGGAAGACTCATTAACAACCTGTGATATGCAGACAACATAACCTTGCTTGCTGAAAGTGAAGATGACTTTAAGCACATACTGATGAAGATGACAGAGTATAGTCTGCAGTATGGGTTGTTGTTGTTGTTGTCATGTGCCATCGAGTCGGACCCGACTCATAGCGACCCCTCCCCTTGGGTTGCCAAAGCAATATCACTACGGAAGTAGATTGCCCAAACTTCCTTCCGAGGCAGTATGGATTACACCTCAACATAAAGAGAACAAAAATCCTCACAACTGGACTAATAAGCAGTATAATGATAAATGGACAAAAGACTGAAGTTGTCAAAGATTTTGTATTACTTGGTTCCATAATCAACAGCAATAGCAGCAGCAGTCAAGAAATCAGACATCGTATTGTACTGGGCAAATCTGCTGCAAGAGATCTCTTTAAAATGATGAAGAGCAAAGATGTAGCTTTGATGATTAAGGTGCACCTAACCCAAGCCATAGTATTTTAAATTGCCTCATATGCATGTTAATGCTGGACAATGAATAAGGATTCCAAGAAGAGTTGATGCTTTTCAACTGTGGTGATGGTGATGAATACTGAAAGTACCATAGACTGCCAGAAGAACTAACAAATCTGTCCTGGAAGAAGCACAGCCAGAATGCTCCTTGGAAATGAGAATGGCCAGACTTTGTCTCACCTACTTTGGTCATGCTGTGAGAAGGGACCATTCCTAGGAGAAGGATATCACACTTGGTATAGTGGAGGGTCAGTGAAAAAGGTGAAGGCCCTCAAAAAGATGGACTGACACAGTGGCTGCAATGACGGGCTCAAGCATAGCAAAGATCATGAGGCTGGCACGGGACCTGGCGGTGTTTCATTCTGCTGTGCATAAGGTCACTGTGAGTCCTAGTTGACTGGAAACATCTAACAACACAATGAGAAGTTATCACTCCATGGACTAATTGGTTTCTAAGGCTAAATTTCTTTCTTTTTATGATAATGAACAACACAGAAGCAATTACCTATTACAAGACAGTTTCAAAGAATCAAGTTTTCTAAGTTTTGTTGAAAAAAAATACTGGTAGTCATTTTAAAAGTAGAATATTTGAGAAATAAACAAAAAATCCTATAGAGGTAATGACAGTGGCTATCTTCATAACAAAAAAAAAAAAAAAAAAGCAGTAAATTTCCTAATTAATCTAAAAGCTTCATTTAAACCATTTACAATGACATTCTTCCAAACCTAATATGACAACTAATAATTATGATTCCGGTTACACTATCCTTCTTTACCCTGATCTTTCTCTAAACAGAGATGTTGTTGTTATGTGCTGTCGAGTTGGCCCCGACTCATAGCGACCCCTCCTTGGGTTTCCGAGGCAGTATCACTACGGAAGTAGGATTGCCCAACCTTCCTTCCGAGGA